GCCCTCGGGGTTCCCCACGTATTGGCCAAGGACCACGTCCTCCGGCGCCACCGGGCTGATGCACTTGAGCACCTTCACCTGTGGGGGGGGACATGGGGTGGGAGGACGTGGTTATGGGGGGCCACCATTGAGAACATGGTGATTGGTTGTGGTTATGGGGGGACCACCATTGAGAACATGGTGATGGGTTGTGGTTATGGGGGGACCACCATTGAGAACATGGGTTGTGGTTATGGGAAGACCACCATTGAGAACATGGTGATGGGTTGTTGCCATCAGGGAAGTGACAATGAGGGATGTGGCCATGGGGGCTGCTACTATCGAGGTCAATCCATGGAGAATATGGTTGTGGGTCATGGGCCCCACTGGGGACATGGCCATGGCCAGGACATGGTCACCATGACCACAAAGTGACGGTGTGAAGGGCTCAGGTGGGACTTGAGTGCGGTAGGGAGTGAGGTGACACCACGGGGACACGGTGGGGACACGGACCTTCTCATCCCGCACGTCATCGGGGTTGGTGGAGGCCGGTTTCTCCATGGCCACCAAGCAGAGCATCTGCAGGAGGTGGTTCTGCATCACGTCCCTGTGGGGCAGAGCCGGGTGCTGGGACCATGGGACATCCCTATGGGGGGGGGGAATCTCCCCAAGGCCACCCTGGTCCTCACCGGATGATGCCGAAGTCATCGAAGTAGCCACCACGTCCCTCGGTGCCAAAGGGCTCCTTGAAGGTGACGACCACACAGGCCACGTTGTCCCGGTTCCAGATGGGGCCGAAGATCCTGTTCCCGAAGCTGGTGGGACATGGGATGAGGGTGAGGAGCTGGTGTCACCTCCCGTGTCCCCCCTGACGTCCCCGTGTCCCACCGGAGCACCATGAGGTTCTGCACCATCTCCTTGCCCAGGTAGTGGTCGATGCGGTAGATCTGCTCCTCATGGAAGAGGCCACCGAGATGGGCCGAGAGCGCGTCCGAGCTCGCCAGGTCCCGGCCAAAGGGCTTCTCCACGATGACGCGGTTCCAGCTGGACATGGGAATAGGGACGTGGGACATGGAGATATGGGGGTGACGTGTCCCATGTCCTCACAGTGCCCTACCCCTGTCCCACGCAGTGATCTCAGATGTGGCAAGTGATGCCCCCACAGTGGCCCCATGTCCTACCCCTGTCCCGTGTGTTCCCATGTCCTACCCCTCTCCCCGTGTCCCACCCCTGTCCCGTGTCCTACCCCTGTCCCCCG